ATAGCCTAAGTGTTCTCGGTAAGTGCTCTTGATTAGCTGGTTTATCAGTTTAAAATTAAAAACGGCTAGTGCAGGTAACCCTTGCGTAGCTTTGCGCGAATATCTGAAACAAAAACCTATGCGATAGAGATACTAAATTACACTAATTAAAGTAATGTCATATAAACCTATAAGGTAAAGATACTAAATTACACTAAATTAAAGTAATATCTTATAAATCTATGCGATAAAGATACTAAATAACACTACTTAAAGTAATGTCATATCAACCTATGCGTTAAAGATACTAAATTACACTAAGTTAATGTCATATAAACCTATGTCGGCCCGGCATAGCCAGGTGGTTAGGGCACTCGACTCGCAATCTGCGGGTCGCGGGTTTGGATCCCCGTCCCACCAAACATGGTCGCCCTTTCAGCAGTGGGGGCGTTATAATGTAACAGTCAATCCCACTATTCGTTGGTAAAAGAGTAGCTCCAGAGTTGACGGTGGGTGGTGATGACTAGCCGCCTTCCCTCTAATCTTACACTGCTAAATTAGGGACGGCTAGGGCAGATAGCCCTCGTGTAGCTTTGCGCGAAATTCAAAACAAACAAATAAACCTATGGTGTAAAGATACTAAATTTCACTAATTAAAGTAATGTCATATAAACCTATGCGATAAAGATACTAAATGACACTAAATTAAAGTAATGTCATATAAACCTATGCGATAAAGATACTAAATTACACTAATTAATGTCATATAAACTTATGCGATAAAGATACTAAATTACACTAAATAAAGTAATGTCATATAAACCTATGCGATAAAGATACAAAATTAAAGTAATGTCATATAAACCTATGCGATAAAGATACAAAATTAAAGTAATGTCATATAAACCTATGCGATAAAGATACTAAATTACACTAATTAATGTCATATAAACTTATGTGATAAAGATACTAAATTACACTAAATAAAGTAATGTCATATAAACTTATGCGATAAAGATACTAAATTACACTGAATAAAGTAATGTCATATAAACCTATGCGATAGTGTGTTTTAGATTCCTTTAGTAATTCTATCTTGCATGTTTTCAGGGAAGTGGGGGAGGGGGAGGGGTGTAGGACGTGTTGCTGCAGCCCTTCCACATTTGTTGAAGACACATTATGTACATTATAAAATCAGTTCCCAAACTTTCTCAGCACAAGACCCCCAGAATATTCTTAGTCCTAACTGACCCCTTCTCTTATTCTAACCAATGAATTTACAGATAATGAGTACTTTAACAGTATTGTGTATTTGAATATTTGTTACGTCTCACTGACACTTTACTGGGGAATACCTGCTTTATACAATATCGTCGGCTTTCTGTGACGTTCCACCTCCAACTTCAAAATCAGTCCCGCCTTTAAGTAAATTTTTGTGTGACGGCCTTAACCAAAATTTTCGTCTGATCTCTCACTCGACAACTTAACCAGCGTCTTTTATTATTATTTACCGCTATTTTTGACCCCCAATGGCACAGCGGGATGTCTGCGGAGAAACCGGGTTTCGATACCCGTGGTGAGCAGAGCCAAGATAGCCCATTGTGTACCTTTGTGCTTAACTTAAAACGAACAAAAATTGTAGTCTTTGCCCCCAAGTGGCACAGCGGTATGTCTGCGGACTTACAACGTGGTGGGCAGAGTACAGATAGCCCATTGTGTACCTTTGTGCTTAACTTCAAACAAACCGCTATTTTTAATGCCTTTAAATTTCTCAGTGGAATATTATCGCGAGTATAATGTTTTCACGACTTAACCCTAGCCTCTAAACAGAACCAAAGTATATGATTATGACTTAACCCTAGCCTCTAAACAGAACCAAGGTATATGATTATGACTTAACCCTAGCCTCTAAACAGAACCAAAGTATATCATTATGACTTAACCCTAGCCTCTAAACAGAACCAAGGTATATGATTTGAATAATATTTATTTGATCTCTCTTGTTATCATTCGGGAGATGGACCAAACTGGTAGTTTCAGGTTATGTTTATCTCTGCTTCTTAAAAATGGTAAGTCGCTGTTGTTCAAATACATTAATTTTGCATTAATCAAAGCTCAGTTCAAAACGTTACCATCGTGTGTGTCATTGGTTATGTAAAAAGTTCTTATTGTTTGTGTGTGTGTGCCATGATTGTATTAACAAAAGAAACAGAACTTCAAATGTGATAAGAAACTCACGAAGCTGAAATTGAACTTTTATCTTATTTTTTTTTTTTTAGTTTTTAAGTTCTGGGGTCAAGGAATCTATCACTTTCACAAACCAGGTAGCGCTCTTTTTAATCTCGTGCAATGAAGTTTTTGATAGTTTGAGATAGAGAATGGTACGTACACACTGCGCATGAGCTTTCATATTCTTATTATGCCTACACAGATGTAAAAAAACCTGATAAATGACTGAGTAACTATGCGAGTGTGTGAGAAATCAAAGAACTATGTTCACAAAAAGAGCTACGACCTTCGAACACTTGAAAAAACATTTATTTTTGACAAGTTGCGTTTCATGGAAAGGTTGGAACTTTTTTAAAGAAGAAAGTTAAATACCAGTACGTTCGATAATGAAACCGATAAGAAGAGGTTTTCGGAGTGTGTGTGTTTGAAAAATAAGACATCGTTGATATATTTTGTGAAATATACGATAAAACCTTTTGTTTGTCCACTTTGCAGTGTGTGTGTGTGTAATTTCCGATAGAAAGCTAGTTTAAAATTAATAAACTAATAAGTAAAATCACTCTTCCAATGACTTTAAATTAGAAATCGTAAAGCAATATCACTAATTTGTGAGGTTCTTTTAGTAAGAATGATAACATCATTTTTAACTTCATAGAAGGATAGTTTACTGTGTTGGTCGTGAAGGTCATAACTATATTCACACTCCATTTTGTAGCAAACCCAGTTTTCTATCGTTTAAAATATATTTATTAATGATACGGTTTTTCCTGGTTCAAAAGCGTGGACTTATAACGGTGAAATTCGAGGTTCGATTCCCGCGATGTCCTTGTGTAGCTTTGTCTTAAAATTAACAAGCAAACAATGATACAAGGTCTAGACCTTTTTAATGATTTATTAAATATACTTTATTAAATAGACAATAGAATTGTCTTAGAGATTGTGAGTTATAGTTAAATAATGATATTAATTCAACTTTATTTGAGGCAGATTTTGAGTAACAGACGATCTATTTTTTATAGTAAGTTCAAGTAAAATTATCCCCATATATATATATTATATATATTTATTTATTTATTAGATTGTGGGTTATAGTTAAATAATAATATTAATTCAACTTTATTTGAGGCAGATTTTGAATAACAGACGATCTATTTTTATAGTAAGTTCAAGTAAAATTATCCCCATATATATATTAGATTGTGGGTTATAGTTAAATAATAACTATTAATTAAACTTTATTTGAGGCAGATTTTGAATAACAGACGATCTATTTTTATAGTAAGTTCAAGTAAAATTATCCCCATATATATATTAGATTGTGGGTTATAGTTAAATAATAACTATTAATTAAACTTTATTTGAGGCAGATTTTGAATAACAGACGATCTATTTTTATAGTAAGTTCAAGTAAAATTATCCCCATATATATATATTTATTAGATTGTGGGTTATAG